TATTTGCGTTATTGAAGTTTTGGAGTCATATCAACCGTAAGAATTCTTTCTCATAGCGAGACATTCATCAGTACCCATTTTCCATGAATGGCAGCTTTTTACTTTCTTGTATTGTGTAAATTAAAACAACTTATGACCAATTAACGTAGCCTGTGTTGACTTCATCCTTTATTCACTGGACTTTTGAGTGATAGTCAAACGTTGCAAATTATCATTCATCAAAAATGTGATTTTATAACTCCAGCATTTGATTATCTGCTTTACCATCTCCAAATACACATTATTTAATTCACTTTTGGCCGTGGCTTTGAGTCCTACCACCACAAAGACGTTTCGACCAGCTTATTTTTTTCCATTTTTTAGCCTCTCCAGCCGCTTCAGCAACTGACCAGATGTAAAAGTGATCTACGCCACTCCCAATCATCCTCCATCCGGAAGTCTTTCTCCTTTAAGGGTGAGACTATCAAGCCTCGCGTTGCTCTCGTACGTCCTCCATCACTCTCACCTCTGATCCAAATTTTCGACAACCATTTTTAATCATCGCAGCATCTCAAATGTGCTAAAATTTCCCAGTTTTGGGTCTGGCAAATTGGATTACAAATTGATGCTGAATTAATTTAACTCCTGAAGTTATTCGCTATTACTTGAACCAGAATCCCATGCAAACTTCCTTTTTCGGTCATCCAGTCAAAACGCAAATGGTATTCTTTTATAGATAAAGCTTATAATTTAAACATTGACGACTGCCTTTTTATTGTCTGCTTACTTATGCGACTAGCTGCCTTTGAATTTTTAAAGGCCAAATGCAATAAGTTTGGAGATGGATTGCGCTGATCTTCAGGTAGGGAGAAGATGTAATCCTTATTTTTTATATTTATGATTGTAATGCCAATGTGGTTTCCAGCTTGAAGTTTAATGGCTGTAGTTGAAAACAATGAAGCGCATGAACTTGCTTTTTTCAACACCATGCTTAAGTCGAACACAGACATGGATACTTCACTAAATTGTCTTAGATGAAAGTGGTAGTTACTCTTTGGCGCCGCATTACTGTCCAACATCTTGATTAGTACTTTTTGTTGCGTTGGAAAGGTCTCTCCAGGTTCCTCAATTGAGTTTTCTCCAATTGCTGGGCTTTAAACATGAAAATTATGGTACATATCAGCAATTCTGCTGACATTCTTATTCCTAGGCTACTCTTCTGCTTTCATTCTTCTAGTTGCTTGATCTTTTAATAAGCATGACCTTTTGAATGTGCTATCGGTAGTTCGGTAGGAAATAGAGATGTCTTTCAAGATCTAAGTGTGCTACAAACGAAAGCAAACCGGTAACAGTAGTAATTAGACCTGGAGTTTCCATTTCGGGTAAGCTATTATGCTTGAGAAAAGGGATGCAAAGAATGGTTTTCTTTACACCGTTACATCGTTCAACCATTAACATATCTGCTTTGCCTGGTACTGCTAAGTGGTCTTTCCAATTAGCCACAATAATGTGTTACGCAGGCGAAATTTGGTTTTGAACCTTATCGTTTTATTTCAACTTAATGAAAAGGGGAATTTTGAAATCAATTCGCAGTCATATTTTACGTCTGAAAATTGCGGTAATTCTCCCTATGTGATACGTGACTGAATGCAAGTTCGTTGTTTGCAGATCGATTCGACTGCGGGTGCGATGGACGCTCCTTCGGATGCCGACGATTCACGCCTTGTAATCAATGATGTAGCGGCATACAACCGTGTCTTTAAGCCAAAACACGCAATCGCGCGCAGTCCCAATCGTCTTCCATTTGATGGCGGGAGCACTGGAGTACCTCCCCTCCCACCATCATCGCTACAGGCAAATGTGACTACCAGGTCAATGCAAAAACTCTATATTGCGCCCTCCAGTGAGGGCGAAGACGAAGAAAGCGGTCCTTTCTACCCACCACCGCAACCGCAGTCGGGCATTCGTAAGCCTTTACCCATTGGCTTATTAACCTCTGTTTTGTCAAATGTGGACACGTGTGGTGCAGTACAGCCATTCTCCCTTGCTGCCGCTCTTATCCCAACTGTAAGGTTATGGCTGTTACGCACACTGAGATTGTCTTTCACCTACTTTAATTTACGGCTTTTTATAAGGGGCGTTCAATCACAGTTGGAACCAATGTTAAGCGATAAAAACTTTGTTTTTCTCAGCATTTATTCATCTCTTCCGTTGGTTCTCAAAGAGTATCCGGAAAACAAAGTTAGTGCAGAAGTATTTACTGGTGTGGTTGAATAATCTTATCTCATTGAGACGGTTACATTAACTGTATTTTTTTACGGCTGATTGGTTGTGGTTGAAGTCTTTCTTAGGTAGAAGGGAGTTTGAATTGTATGCTCCTATTCGCAAGTCATTTCATTTATCACTACAACTGTCTGTCATCGCGATTATCGATGTTCGAATTGCTCCAGACGTTACTTTGACCGGCTCTTGGTATGCGTGGGTTATGGCATTACTCGCTAAGGTCTCGAAAGTCCTGCTTCAACTCGAACTCTTGTGTTCATGAAACGCAAAGACCAGGTGGTGAAGTGTGAGGTGATTCATTCAAGTTCGCAATATTTCTGTTTGAGTAAAGACTGTGAATAGGGGTCGTCGAAATGCTTTGCATTTTGGTTCAAAATTTAGCCATCTTTTTTGCAAAAGCAAGAAGTCTGAAGGTAATTGATGCCATTGAGTTTTG